ATTTTTGAGGTTTTGCCCTCGCTTTTGAAGTTTTGCCCAACTACCAAGACTTCTGAGGCCTTTTGTTTATTTTTTTGAAGAATTTCTGCTGAACCCATTTTTGAGATTCGAGAAACGAGAACTTTTGAAGGATATCAAACTAGATGCATTTTTATTTTGTTTTCGTATATTAGTCAATTATTTGGTTCAAATTTCCAAATAGTATTTAAAACAGCTGCAGTTTTATAGCTCCGCCTTTTCGATCTATCTCTTGAATAATTGAAGTTGCAACAAGATCTTCTTTGGTTATCGTTGCTTTTTGGCTTTCTGATTTCTGTCATAGCAAAATTCAATGGCTTTGATAACTAATCAATAAAAATAAGTTTAAATTGAGATGTTTGTTTGTGAACAAAGCTCATGAATTATGCTCCTGGATTATATTCATTTTCATTGTCTCGTAAAAGGTTGAGTTTACATTAGTTCAAAATTCTGCCATGTTTCTGCCACGATTCTATTCTTAAATTAGCTGTTTCAGAAAAGGTAGAATTGAAGAAACTCCATCTCTTCAATGTTTGAATGAAACCACTCAAAAAATGTTTGGTACTAATTTTAGCCATCACATTGTCCTGGACGATCATCTCAAAACAATTTTTTCTTATTCAAAATTGAAGATACTTTCTTAACTAGAAGCACTTCCAAAGATTTGTCTAAGATTAAGGATGGCAATTTGGTGCTAGTTGATCTACTCGAATAACATTTTCATTAATTCAATTGGTCGAAAATTAACCATTATTGATCTGTTTGCCGAACTCAAACTTTACAAGAAACTTGTTACTTCAAGATACAAGATCTATGTACAGCTACACATTTCTTGCAATTTTAAAACAAATAAAACAGAAGCAGAAAAAAATATAAACTAGGAGTAAAAAAAATGTTTGCGTGGAGGATAAGCAATCAAGTTTGATACAGGTCACTTATTTCAGCTCAACTTTGTTTAAAATTTCAAAAATTGAACCTAATCTGATTTTATACTAAATTTTTTTCAGCAATTTTAAAAAACACCATAACCTTTTTCTGTTTGGTGTCAAATTTTCCATCAAATATGCGTAAGGGGAATGGTTTGACTTGCATGAGATTCTCAAAAATGAAATTTTAACCGACCGCTTTGCAGACCCCCTACCACTCAGTACTTTACTTCCGGCTGCCAGTTTTTCCTTTTGTCTCACGAAATATAATTTTGGCTCTTGAATCATAAATTTTTTGAGATAAAAGATACTAAGTTTGAGGAACAAACAAGGTGCTAATAAAATAATGTAATTTCTTGGCCCTAGCCTTCCAACAAGTAGTCAAAAAATATTCTACTCTACGAGTTTAAGCAGAGCTCGGAAAATAAAATTGGTTGACCGGTTAATGCCAACAATTTTGTTGAACATTCCCCCTAAAATTGTAATAATTTTAGAAAAACAAGCTCGTTTTAATTTACGCATTTCATACAATTTCATATTTTCTCAAAATACAAGGGTCGATGTCGCAGACCTCATGTTCAGACATTCGCGACAAATTTTTCGGCATGACCAGACTTTCGCGACCCAAATAAGGCATTTCCAGACTTTCACGACCAAGATAAGCAAGCCATTCCAGAAATTCGAAACCGAAAAACTTAGCCGCGACTTTCGCAACCACGGCTGAGACGGATCGACTTTCCAGAGAAAAGCGGAGACGACGCGACCAAGAAACAATTTTCCAGACCAAGGTGGAGACGGCGCGACTAAAAGACATTTCCTCGCGGCCTTCGAGACCGAGTTGGAGACGACGCGACTTTCAAGACCAAAACAGAGAGGGCGCGATTTTCCAGACCAAGACGGAAACGGCTCAACTTTCCAGACCAAGGCAAAAACGGCGCGACCCAGAAACAATTCCTCGCAACCTTCGCGACCGAGTTGGAGACGGCGCGACTTTCCAGACTAAGGCGGAGACAACACGACCATGAAACATTTTTTTTTGCAATCAGAGTTGAGACGGCGCGACTGTCCAGATTGAAGCGGAGACGGCGCGACTTTCCAGACCAAAGCAGATACGGTGCGACTAAGAAACGTTTCCTCGCGGCCTTCGTGGCCGTTGTGAAGACGGCGCAATTTTCTAGACCAAAATGGAGACGGCGCGACTTTCTAGAACAAGTCGGAGACGGTTAGTGTTGCGGTTGATGCAACATTTTTGTTTGAATCAGACTACATACAAAACTGTTACTCGGATAAAGCAAATCTATAGAAAACTTTTTTTTTGTCCTTTAAAAATGGCAAAGGGAGAAATTCTACTGTTGACCTGTATGGCCAAACACATGTTGCCAAAAGTTTTCAAACTTCCCTTTTCTTCTCAAAATTCTGACGCTCGCCACTGAAATTATATTTGTTTCAGCAGTACTAACAATCTTGATATTACAATGCTATGGCCTTGAAGGCAAGTTTTTGGATATTTGTATCTTGGAACATTAAAATATACTTGAGTGGATATGGTTTTTATAGTGTTTCTGGAAAATAAGTCATCTTATCTAATCCAATTGATAGGTGTTAATGTTTCCAGAATTTTTCTAGTTTCATACTAGTCGTGTGTTTGCTTATTTCGCATAAAGCTTACAACCAACATGAAAACAAACTTTTGCGGAAAACAATGATGACGTTGAATCATGTCGTGAATAAGTCATTACAAAATTGAAATGTAGGTTTCAAAAATTGTAACAAAAAAGTGATTTATTGGCAAAAAAATTCTTGATTATGATCACAGAACGTTTTTGGAAGTGTAATGAGCAACAGAGATGCAGGGCCGACATTATTAACTAAAATAGTTTAAAACCAACCGATATCGACCTGAATTGACCACAGTGAAAATGAAGTTGACCAGGGATGACAACGGACATTGTTTGACTCACAAAGCCGACAGCGGACATCTTTTCATCAAAAAATTGAAAGCAATTTTGGACGACCAGTTCAATCGGTACAAAATTCGACTGATTCAACTCATCCTTTTAGTGGGCCGTCGGTAATCAGTGTTCTGCTCAGACTAGGAGCAAGACAATTTTGCACCTTGAATAAAATCAAATCAAAGTTCAGAGATAAAAAAAGTTGTTTTCGCATAGAACTTTTACAAATTTCAAAAAAAACTAGGCAATTTTAAAGTGTTTGCTCAGCGTTGAAAAAGAGTATTGAATTTTCTGTTAAATTGCATGAAAAAAAAATAAGTTTGATTTATCCTGGCTGAGTTCATGGTTTTATGTACAGAAAGCGTGTGGACCAACTTTTTTATAATCAGATAACGCGGAAATAACTTGTTATTTTGAAACCGTATGGGTTCATATCAAGAGCCCTGAGCTAAATCCAGTTAATAATCCCCAAATGGCAAAAAAAGCAAAAAATGGGTTCAAACCACGGGG